CCTTCACCCTCGACGGTCTCATCTCCCTGGCTATTAGGGCTGGTCCGAATAGCAACTCGTGGTCTCCGGATATTCGGTCTGAATTGGCAGTGAATATTCCAACATTCGGCATCAGCGTGGGGGTGACGTCAGAGTCGGTAGGCAGCCAGCCACGGCGAGGCAGTGTGCTGTGCTGTGCGTCCGCTGGGCATCGCGACGGGGCGGTGCGCTGTGTCCGTAGTGGCGGCCAGTATTAGTAACAGTATTACAAATAATTTAATAAATAATTTTGTCTTGGTTAGAGACGCGGGAAAAGCGAAGCATGACGTCAGAGTTGGTAGGTGTTTGTGATACAGCCAGCCGCGGCGACGGCAGGGCGGTGCGCTGTGCATCCACTGTGCGTGCGATGGGCATCGCCGACGGGGCGGTGCGCTGTGTGTCCGCTGGGCAGCGGCGGCGGCGGGGGTGCGCTGTGTCCGCGGTGGCGGCCAGTATTAGTCACATTATTATAAATAAAATATATATCAATGAAAGACGCGTCTCCGCAATCGCAGTCCTGTATCCACCCTCGGCGTAGGTGCTGACCGGGAGGGGGGGATAGGAGGCAGGAATCAGGAGGCCGAATAGTCGGAGATCAAAATTGGTATTCTGACACCGGCACTCCAAACGAATAGTCGGCTATTCGGCTATTCGGGTCCAGCCCTACTGGCTATCCAGATCAACAACTACAATCGGGAGCGCTGCTGGGAGCGGGGAGCTCGTTTCCCCAGCCCTCTCAGACATGCCCCAGCTACTGCCTTGCACTCAGCCCTAGCCTGCTGCCTTGCACTCAGCCCACTGTGTCTGCTCCAGAGGACGAACCCGTGCAGCTCGGGCGAGCCCGACTATCAGAGAAGGAGAATCAGGCTGCTGCTGAGCTAACGCCTGCTTGTACTGCGGCGAGGTGGGTCATTACGCCGCAGTCTGCCTGTCTCCAGACCTGGAGGAGGAGATTGCCATACCGTCTGTAGCCGCCCACCTCCACCATTGTGGCTGGACCTGGCGCCAAGCCCACGCCGCCCTGCTAAAAATCTCCCAGAAAACCCAAGACCAGGCAAACCATCACTGCTCCGTCACCCCTGTTTACACCCCTGGACGGCATGTCTAGCTAACCAAAGACCCTCCCCTCTGGGTGTAGGCCAAGTAGCTGGACCCCACTTCATGGGGCCATTCAAAGTCAAGGTCATCATCAACCCGTGCGCCATCTGGTTGAAACTCCCCCGGTCCATGTGAGTCCACTTTCCATGTGACGCAGGTCAAACCCGTCTGGGCCCCCCCTGTGCCTGTACCTCCACCTTGGAAGACCACCCTGTGTCTACAGGAGGCTTCTGGACCTGTGCCACTGTGGCAGGGCCATGCAACACCTGGTAGACTGGGAGGGCTATGGACCCGAGGAACGAAGCTGGGTTCCCCGCTGGCAAATCCTGGACCCAAGTCTGATTACAGACTTCCGCCGCCAACACCTGGAACGCTTCCATCTGCCCCAACCTGACCTCCCTCTTTCTCCCCCTCTCTCCCTTTACTTTTGCCCAGTCTGTGCCATTCTTTTTTATCACAGTACTCGCTAATATTCGAACTGCGAACCTTCTCCTTCCTGATCGCACGCTCCTGTGTAGCATGCATCTACATTCTTCAGGATGGTAGAGTGAGCGAGTGGGGAACATCAATGGAAGACACCCAATCTCCAGTTTGCCACACCCTGGGCTGCTTTACACAGGAGTAGAGAACAGTGTTTGACAGGTCCATCAGCGCCAAAGAAGTGGCTCAGGTCCTGCTGCAGGCACATCAAGGAAGGACGTCAGTTTCTGACTATGCCATAGACTGTCGCATGTCAGCTGCTAACTGGTCTTGCTGAAGGTCAGTTTGATGCATTTTTGAATGGCCGTTCTGAAGACCATAAAAGATGAACTAACCACCTGTGAACTAACAGCTGCTCTCGATTTCCTCATCGACCAAGCAATTCGTATTGACCATCGGCTCACCCAGAGGAATAGAGAAAAAGAAACCAGGCGCTCTCAGTTTTCTCTGCATGATCAGTCACCCATGGCTGAGCCAGCCTCCAGTCCCTTGAGGCATGGGTTGAGTTTGTCCACAATTCATTGCCTATCATCTCCACTGGACCCCATTTAAAATGTTTCAGGGTTGCTCAGGAGTACCTACTATGAAGAAAGTACATTTGTGTCCCCTGATAATGGTCCTGAAAGAAGGTCAATTCTTGCTTTCGGAACATGCACAAAGGTTCAACCCACCCTAAAATGATTCGCAATTGCCAGTGGAAAATGGCTAATTATTACTGTTATCATCATAATAATATTTTTATTCTATTTAGTGTTGGGCTACCCAGTTTAGATGTTATCAACCCATTACATGTGTATTGTCACTGCAAATCATTCCCGTACAAATGGGCCAATAGGGGTCTCCTCCACCCTTCAGTACGCTCAGTAGCTGTATTATTATCCATCCTGATCACTGATAAACAGAAAATAACCCTGACAAAGGAGACAATCTTTTGCAGTCGTGCAAAATTTGTTTGACAGGGTGTATATAATGTCAAACCACGATCCTTTCCAAAACCTTACGAAGTTGTTTCAGTGTATAAATCTAACCTGACTGAAAAAGCAAGTAACCACTAGGCTAAAACAAGGAGTGAAAGGAAAGTCAAAACGAGACTTAAGTTGAAAAATGGTACTTTACAAATGGTCCAAGATGGGTCTCAACCTCTAGTTCCTTGGCTAAAGGTCCACAGAGGGTGGGACAATGTCTTGGGCTTTCTGAAGCCATTCTTAAACAGTTTTTGTGATGTGGCAGGGTGCACTGTCCTTCTGTGGGTGGATGCTGCTGTCTGGGAGTGCCTTTGCCACGGGGGAGAGGCTGTGCTTGGTCTGGAACAATGTTTAGGTGGGTGGCATGGCTCAAAGTCTACATGAATGAAACATCATAACCTTCAGGTGAAGCACTTTCATCTGTACTTTACCTGTTACGACAAGTTAAAATGTCCAAGGTACATAGGTTGAAGAAAAGCATAATCTATGTGTTACTATAGTTTGATAAGGCGTGGACACTGGATGTGTCAGTTACATTTGATATGATTGGTTGAAACTAGCAGTCATGTAGCAGACACTACAACTAGTGCACTACTCGGGTCCAGGTATATGAGGTGTATGGTAGGAAACACTGACTAACAAAAAGGTCTACGCATAAACATAAAGATACATGAACAGTGGCCTGATTGGAGAAAAACTAAGGTGCATGAGGATGAAAAAAACACAAGTGAAGAACTGGGAAGTGGAGGAGGAGTGGATGGCCTTCCTCAGGAAGTGTCTCCACTGACAGGGACAACTAATGGAGGCTCGCTTTCACTGATGCCTGTGAGTGTGTGACGGATGAACAAAGCACACGGTCTGCTGGAACAAGGCCATTACAGGCGTGTGTGTGTGTGTGTGTGTGTGTGTGTGTGTGTGTGTGTGTGCGTGAACATGTCTATGTGCATTTAGGACTGTGTAAGCACATTCATCTGATGTTGTACTGTATTCACTGCACAGTTTAATCATGTGTGAAGGGACAACCACATCTGTCAACTATATTAACTCTTAACAACAAAAATAAAATGTTTCAAGCAGCTCAATATGTAGATGTGCTTCTAATGCTGTCACACTGTCAGAGGTTCAATTACTGCCACAGTGACTGACACTAACACTAAGAATAAACAGTATGTGCTCTAAGTACGGTAAAGTGTAGATAACAGCCAGTAAATGGTGCAGGGCTTCCTACAGGTCCCATGAAATAAAATGCCCTATTTTATATGCATTGACCTTGAGCTCCTGGCCATCCATTACTGTATGTGCCAACTCCATGTCAAAAATGCATCCAATCTATTTTTATAGCAGAACTTTGTTTTTCTTCTTGTTAAAGGTCAAAATGTTTAAGGACACAGGAATGTTGCCGTGTCTTGAAAAACTGTCTGTATAATAAAATGTGAAGGAAAATCTCGCCAAATTTAAGGCTTAAGGCACAATAGTAAAAGAAACCCCAAAAGTATAAAGCTTCATTAAAAAAAATTAAGAAAAGAAAAGAAAAAAGAAAAACCAGTGCCATACACTGGCTAAAGGATGTGCCTTAAGAGTTTGTGAATAGCAGTGGCGCTCTGTGGCACAGAAGGGTGAGACCAGTCAGGCACTCATTGTTTAGCTGCTTCAATTATTAGTCTCAGCACCTCTAGTTCAGTTCTTCTAAAGTGTCATTTTCAGGTAATTATTTCAAAGAAGCAGGAAAATCCAACAGGCATTAAACCCCATCACAGGTTTATTATTTTAGGAAAAATTAAAGGCACCCTTAGGTGGGGGAAAAGGTATATATTTTTTTTTATTTATTTTTTTTAACCATGCCTGTATTGTGGTTTTTTTGTTTGTTTGTTTCTTTACATGCTGGAAGACATCATGAGTGAATTAAGCAGTCAATGCCACAGCTGTGCATTTCCACATTGAAACTGCAGATTCACTGAAGACACTTGGATTCAGGGTTTCACATCAGACAAACCAAAGAAACGACTCCTGTCAGCTTGCAGGACGGACATTTCTGTATCATTCTTCTTCAGAATTATTATCTGGTTCAAAGGTGTATGGATGAATTACTACAATATTGGTAAGACCTGTGAACACTTGGAAAAACGATGTACGTGTTCATTGCAGTTTTTTTTTTTTTTTTTTGTAAAATAAATAATCAAAGAAATTGACTGTTCCTTTGTTTTTTCTCTAAATGATTGTTGGTGTTCTAAATTTGCTGTACTGTACAAAATACATGTTTGAGTCCCTCTTCTTGTAGCTATGGCTGTGCTGCTCCATAGATATGTGAGATGTTATATAACTGTGAAAAATGAGAAGTGGAACTTTCTAAATGTGCTTTCGAGGGTTAAAGTGTGTCAGACTGCTCCACAGAATTTGCATGAATGGAAGCGTTCTCCCAGTTCAGTGTCAGAGTCAGACCTGAGGGCAGTGGTGTAGTGGTGAATGGCCTCCTGGTGCCGATCGCTGTCTTTCAGGAAGTTGGCGTAGTTGTAGTGGACTTTGGCATTGTGAGGCAGAGTCTGGATACCAGAGCTGAAACCAGGAGGAAGAGGACAGAGAGGAGGTGTGAGGTCAGTTTGAAGAGAGAAACAGTGCTGCAGACATCTGAGCAACATCACTAAGAGAACAAAAGGACTTTAACTCCTTCAGACTGGATTTATGTCTCCAGGAGAGGAGGGGTGATTTCACACTTTATCTGTGCAGGTCAGTAAAACTGATTCTGATAAACACAACAGAGATTTGAGAGAATTTGAGTAAATCTCCTGTTACAGATGCTGGTTTGAACTGTGTTTTTGATCAATACATTGTACACTTAGATAATACACATTAGTTACACTCATAGCATGTTGAATTAGCTATTAGCTGATGTTGCACCAGACAGCTACCACTGGATTACTCTGGTACTGAAGAGAACTCAGAAATGTGGTGATTCTCAGGAAGATTCTGAAGAGTCTTTTTTCCTGGATGTCTACGTGGATTTATGTACATGTATTCTGGATGGACACCAGATAATGATGTCGTTGGGAAGTGTAAGGTCCTCTGAACGACATAAGGTTGTTTAATTTCTTTGTGTTCAGATCTTACTGAGTTAAGACTCGGACAGTACTGCAGTTTAACTCGATGTGCTCTCTGGTGTTGCTTTAGGGAAGCCTTTGGCGTGGTCTCGCTGAATGTCCATGTCTATTGCAGACCATATCCTGTAATTTCACGATGGGTAAAATGCCACCTGGAACAATGAGTTTAATTCAATCGGGGGACAGTGAAGATTTCATTCCCTACTTCCCCCTGTGCTGCTAATCGAACAATAAAGGACCTCCACCTATACACACATACTGAATGCACAGCACAAACACAGTTCATCACTTCAGAGTACATCATGCTGACTTACACTGATTGAACCATTAGAGTAGTCTTCACCCAAATGAAATACTTTACATTATGGGGACCTGGTTTTTGTGTAAACTTGATTATGCCACACGACACGAGTAAGTCAAGTACACAGACAAACACACACAAAATCAGTTTTCCAACATTTGCAGGTCTGACTGGAAAAACATGCAAAAAATGTGGATGACAACAGATGGATCAATAATCTGCATGCATGCCTTTCTAGTTCAAGCATCCTGTGTATACTGACCTTCTAGTTTCTATACTGTACATGCCTATTGATAGAGCACGGTAATTACAACACACACACTTTGTTAATTCACAGTTTGTTTGTCACATCTGTGTTACTGTATCACTTTCACATTAACAAATAAACACTAGAGTCTGGGGATGCAGCCATCACAGAGAGGGACGAACAGCTTCCACACCGATGGTACGCCAGGCATGTTCAACACGATATTCTGCACACAGCTCTTGGGCTGAAATCGAACCGGACCAATGTAAAGGTTCTTAGAGTCTTCCATATAATGTATACGATGGGACTGAAAATCTGTCATGTTTTCATGTGAGCCTGGAAATAATATGAAACTTTGAGGATTTAGAAACATTTAAAAACGCCAGGTTTCCTCGAGTTGCATCCTTCCATTGAAGCAGCGTTCAGACAACACTTGACTGAATCAGAGCAGCATTTAATGGTGGATGATGGCAAAACAATTTTCTTTATTAATGATTTCCTGTTCGAGATTAGTGGCAGAAGGGCAACTGTAAGAGCACCTGCAGTACATCGACGGACCAAAAAACAGAGCAGACTTGACGTGACAAGAAGCTCTTTGGAACATTGTCACATGATAACATGAGACATCAGGTTTGAACAAACTGTCATTCAAGCAAGAGTGATGAAAAAAAAAATAGTGAGATGTTCTGGAATTCAAGGACTTTTTATAGAGATTCAGCTTCTCACTCTCTGTTAAGACGTTAGAATGAAACACGTTTGTATTCCATTCAAAACAAAAGCAGAACAGTGATCTCAGACTTTTGGTCCCCACTTTACATGATTTAACTCCACTAACCAAAGCTTGGTTGTGTAATAATTCAGGATTGGTTTTAACATTTGTTTTGATCCTGTTTCAAGTCATCATGTCTTTTAGAATGTCATACATTGAATATATTTTCAGGTTGCACTCTTTTCAAATAGACATTCATGCTGATTTCTAGCTGCTGTGAGCAAACTGCTGTCATGAGAGTAAACTAGAGATTGGGGATTCAATGTGCACATAAGAGCACTTATTGTGAGCTTATTTGCCAGATTATGTTGGAAAATCCTGGAGAGTGCACTGCAGACAAAACCAAGAGTGTAATGTTGAACAAAGCGTTTGCCTGTGGGCATATGTAAGCATAGGTTATCGATGTTCACACACATACACACACACACACACACACACACACACATATACATATGCTTACCGGAACAGGGCCTCCCTGGAGAGCCAGACGTTGTTCTGTTGGACAGTCTTCCAGGAGAAGAGCAGGAGCAGCAGCAGCATGGAGACACTGAGGACTGTGGTTCCCCAACGGCCCACCACCGAACACAGCCGGCCCAGGCCATGAGCCACCAGGATGCAGTAACCCATGCTGCAAGAGGAGAGAGGGAGGAAGCATTTCAGTCAGGGAAGTGGATTAAAATAGTAGAATGTTTGGGAGGAGGGAGGAGCACAGACAAAAATAATGCATGATCCATGAGCGACTCTACATTTCCCACTGCGGTCCAGCATCCTCCTGTGTCACTGTCATCACTCCACTTATTTGTCTTTTGACCTGGGAAATGTGACTTAGTGCCCTCTGCTGATGCCTTTCACCCAAATGGATGGTGTCCCATAAAAAACCTCTTTCCCTAATCCTGCAACCTTGAACACATCGTTAAAAACTACATGTCTCCTGTGTTTACCGTCACGCACTCTGTACTGATGCGTGCTTGTGTGTCAAATGGCTTACGGCAAGAATTTCTTTTTACTAGAATCCTTCCACACTGTTGCACACTTTCCATCTAAGTGCACTGAAATAGTGTGCCTCAAAGGTACAGCAACAACAGCAACAAAGGACATGGAGAAAAATTGTCAAGGAAGGCTTAGGCTCGGATGACTTGGAAATGGTGATAAGGCTGAAAAAGAGGAGCACAGATTAGAGGAGAGCTCAGTCAGAGAGCGACAGGAAGAGTCTCGAGAGAAGGTGGGAAACAGAGAAAAGTGGGAAGAGGAGAGATGAATGGAGGTGTCTGCAAGCTACTTAAAGTCTGCTGGCTGATTTGTTCTCTAGAATAAC